ATTGATGAATTTACACAGTCATAAAATCTTACAGAACAGAACAGCATGAATAAACGATAATGAGAGAACATAATAATATTTGTATTGGGAATGTCGGAAATTACAGATTGAAGCTGGACTGAAACAAATGCGTTTTAAGTGCTAATTAAAATTTTGATTAAGTTGTAGACTCCCGTAGATGAGCTGGTACAGCGTTCCACAGGGAGGGGGCGTGGTGGGAAAAAGCTCTTCCTCCGAGTCCCTGACTTTGTGGTGGTGGTGTTAGTGGAGGAGGCGGGGAGGGGGTGGTTTCCAGGTTGTGGTAAGGGTAGTGTTGTAGTTATTGGGATTGTGGTGGTAATGATGGAAAATGGTGGTGATGGTGGTGTAGGGATTGTGGTGATGATGGTGGTGGTGGTAGGGGTTGTGGTGGTGGTGGTGGTGATAGGGGTTATGGTGGTGGTAGGGTTTGTGGTAGTGGTGATAGGGGTAGTGGTTATGGTGGTAGGGATTTTGGTGATGGTTGGAAATGATGTGGTGGTGGTGGTGGTGATAGGGTTTATCAATGGTGGTGGTAGTGGCGTGATGGCTGTCGTGGGAGCTGTGGTGGTGACGGTTGAAAGGGTTGTGGTGATGGTGATGATTGCAGACCTGATGGTGGTAGAGTTTGTTGTTGTGATTTTGATTGCTGCTGTTGTTGCTGTTGTTTTTGTTTTTGTTGTTGTAGTTTTTGTTATTGTTATTGATAACCGTTAATGTTGTTGTTGTTGTTGGTGGTGGTGGTTGTAGTGATGGATGAGGTGATAAACAACACCCACACACAATAAAAACCAAGGACGCCGATGACGACGACAACATTAACAACTGCAGCAACAACAACAGCGAAAGCAACTGAACAATAAATACACACAGCTGCAGCCCCAGAAACCACACACAAGGACTGACTGTTTAATTTTGGCAAAGCCTTTCACACACAAGAAAAGTCGCAAAACCAGTCGGACCCAGACAGGAACATATGAAAGCAAAATGTTTTAAACAAATCTACAAATAACTCAAAGTAATCCGATAAATCAAAGTTAATGGGAATCTCCCACAAAGACACCAAACTCTTTTAACTAAACAGAAGAAGCAAATTGTACCAGTTTGTTCAGTTGCTCTAGGACCAGAAAGCAGCATTTTTCAGGAGAGAGAAAACACTGTTTTATTCTTTTTAACAATTGTGCCGACTTTTTGTACCTTTACTTGCTTCTTCCACCCC